AAATCATACTTTATTAGTTGTATCACTCATCGTCATCATATCATTGCAAGGCGGTTATCAACTACCAATCATCTAAATAAGCGCAAATGTCGAGCGAATGAATTTACTGAAAATACTCTATGACATGTGTCTGTCACATGTTTAGAAACGCATATTTCTTCAACGGACTTTTGTATAGATAAAAAGCTAGAATATAGTGACGTAGTTTGTCGTACCAGGGTTCAATTTTCTTAATGCATATATTTGATTAGAAAAAAACTTTCTAATCTTAAAAAGATTTGTCTATCTCTTTAGAAGATTTATCATTTACGTCATAGCATTATTACTTGTATTTCCAGGAACTTCTTTTTTTCATTATATTAAATGAAAGATTGCTCTTATATATATTCTTTCAATAAAAAAGAAAAACATCACTAAACAAATATTAACTTTATAGACAATACATCAATTTCAATGTCATCATCACTTGATTATAACGCATATTTAGCATTAATAGAAAAGAATTTATATGCAATTGGTGGTCCAATTATAATTATTCTTGGCACAATATGTTCTATAATTAGTCTATTTGTATTTTGCCAAAAGAAATTACGTAAAAATCCATGTGCAATTTATTTTATTTCAATCAATATATCGAATTTATTCTACATATATATCGAATTTATTCTACATATATTCATCAATATTAATTATAAGTTTATCATTTGGCTATAACATTGATTTAAGATCATATAATATTATTACTTGTCGTCTTCTTTATTATTGTTCATTATTATTCGATTGTCTTAGTGCTTTTTATTTAATTTTAGCGTCACTTGATCGAGTTTTAGTTACATCACCAAATGCTCTTACACGGCAACGAAGTACACTTCGTCTTGCTTATAAATCTGTTATAATTGGAACATTATTTTGGATGCTATTTCATAGTCATACATTATTTCTTGTTGATTTTTATGAATTAGCTCCTGGTTATTTTGTTTGTTATTTTCAACCAGGTTTATATGCAAATCTTATTGGTTATTATTCAACCATAGTTAGAGGAATTCTTATGTTTGCATTATTAATTATTTTTGGCATATGGACAGGTAAAAATCTTCAAAATGTTAATCGTCATAGAATTATTCCTATTGCACATACAAGTGTAAATACACTTGGTAATCAAGAAAATATGATTCGTTCAAAAAATCGACAATTTGCTTTGATGTTATTGATGGAAATATTGATTAATATTGTTTTTTATGCAATGTTATCAATTACTGGTATATATGAACAAATTGCAACGAATGAATCACAAACAACATTTTATTATTTTATTCGAATAGTTGCATCTTTTATTGGAAATATTCCAGTATGTGCAAGTTTTATGGGCAATTTATTTATATCAAAAA